TCTTGTCAAAAAAAATCATGAAATTTCAGATTTCACTGAAAATTCAATGTAATTTGGCACTGAAGATTCATATTAGATTGGAAATTCTAATAAATTAAGGAATTCGTGTCTTTGTGCGGCTTAAAATTCTGGAATTTTACTAAATTTTCAGTGAAATTTGAAATTTCATGATTTTTTCCCCTACATCGCATTCAGTATCACTGTCCTTTAAATTAGTAGTCAACTGTCTATGAAATTTAATTTTTTTTTCTAACAGTGTAACTAAGGCGTGAACAATATAAAAAAACGTGTAATGTTAAAAAATTAATGTGTCTCAAATGGAACGGAATCAGAGAAATGAATTGTCTTATTACATCCTTAAATGGAATTGTCTTACATTCTTCTCGGGTGCTCAGCATCCCATAGAATTTATATATCTCCCAATATAAACTCAATCATATCAGACACCTGGTCTGCTCATAAAAATCGATGAAGTCCTCCAATCCAATCAAATTCCTCCGACAGCAAGATTTTATTGAAATCGTCGATAAATTACTCATTCTCTCGAAGATCTTAACGTGACTAGAATCGAACGGGGGGAAACTGTTACACTTACAGTCTTGCACACCCCCAGGTGATTGCCCTATCGCCAGTCGGGATAGCTCAACTCCGAAGGCAGACGGAAGAAGTACGGGAGACTCACCCCCTCCCTTCGCTCGCGAGGAGCGCGTTGCTTGCTTTTCCAACCGTTCCCTTTCGCTACGACTATAATGCGAATACAAATCTGCGCTTGGGGTTATAACTACGTCGTAGGAAAGACGGTCGCAATAGGGTATAGACCGAGTGATAGAACGGGAATCCGGGAGGGCGGTGGAGGGAGGGAGGGAGGGATGGAGAATAGTGGAAAGGAGGGATCGTTTTCACGGCTCTCGCTCACGAGTATAAGCTCATCCTGGGCCCGAATAAATATTGAAAGAGAACTTTCAAGCTATTGTTCTCTCCGAGAAGGCCATTGCGGAAATGCATTCTGCCTGGAATATTCAATTCTTTGACCCCGAAAAACTCTATTCGGTTGCGTTGAAGATATCTCTTTATCATGGATTGAGATTAATGGATGGAATTCGTGCAGTGCTGGGCACTACTAAGTGCATTAGTAGGTAAATTCCTGAGTGAAGTACTGAATCTGCGGGGGCTTAGGTATTAGTTTTGCATGAAGTACAAGTCGTCGACTTATTTCATCTCAATGGTTCCATGACTATTTGACACACAAGAAAATACAATACATCCCGTGTAGAAATTTCTCCGCTCAATCACCGCTTGCTATACCGTCAAGCCGAATGTACGAAAGAATAACCGGTGAGTACTAACACGTGCCGTGTGTGGTAACCGACAAAATGACCGTTCATTTTGGGTCATTTTTGCCCCCTACCCCTAAAATGACCGATCATTTTGTCGCCTACCACGCACAACACGTGTTACACCCATCGGCTATTTTTTCCTTTGGCTATTTTTTCCGCCTATACTAGTCAAGCCGGGGCTCAGCGATCGGTTCGAGTGCGTGAGCGGAGATTCAGCCGCATCCCCGCTTGAATTTCTACACGGGATCATGAATTTAACAATACATCCACTCAAACCATAACAAATGGTTTCACTTGCTCCTTTATTGAAAATTCATTCACATATGAATTTCTCCAAAATTCTGATAATCAAAAAAGAACTTTTTCAAAGAACACAATCGAGTGCGACTTCCTAAATCAATTACAGTCTTCCATTGTGAGCAACGCCCCTCAAATAATCTAGATTACAAACGATACAATGACTTACTTTTTGCAGGCATTCGAATTTGTTGAGATATTTATTTCGATTCAAATACAGGAGGCCAATTACTCATGTGTTTTCAAATTTACGTAGAATTCGAAATGTGTGTCACTGCCCGATGTGTATGTGTAATAAATAATTTATGGTTTTTACATCAAAGTCAGAATTCTTCGGAACAATTATCAATGATAAATCATTTTTTTTTGTGGGCTTTTGAGAAATATTTAGAAAATTATTGAGTTTTCTAGGTAATTCGCGGTTTTTCTGAATAATTCCAACAAGTTATTCACATTCCTAGTCAAGGTTATAGAATAACTTGAAAATTTCCAACAAGTTCAGGAAATCTCCTTTCATATACAATTGCCGCACGGTAATTCATGGTCTAAGTCATTTTTTCACATTGCCCCCTATTTTTCTTTTTCTTTTTGGAATCTCCCAGTACGTGAATTATCAATTTGAAAATATAAATTGAATGGAAATTGTGACAATAAATCCTATAAGAGTCAGTGTATAGAAAAAAATGAATTTATTTAATTTTCTATAAATAATTCGTAAACAATCAATTTTTTACCATAAAAATAATTTGTTCGGAGTCCTAACAAATTTATTCATATTCAGAATTTTACCATTTCATGCCTAAAACAAATGAGGTTTCCGAAAGTTTAAACAAATTCAATTATTTGTCCATAAACAACGAATGTTTAAAACAATAAGAATTCAGTGTAAAACGTTATTTCAATGACGCTGAATATTCATGATTTCTTTCAAATTTTTCTCACGCAATTTAATTTGCAAATTTGATAATTGAAAATAGTTGAATGTATAGTGCGGTCTGTACCAAACTGTAAAAGATAGATACTGTAACAATTTTTTCTTAATTGTCAGAACCTTTGGTTCCATTAATTCCCCTATGACTCTAAAAAATTAGGTACAGAAGTTTCCTCGAGCATGAAAAGAACAATCAATCTTCAATCATTCAATCTTCAGTCAATCAATCTTTATGGATTTTCAATCTTCTGAAAGTGCATAAACACCAGCGACGCGGTGGCTGTGTGGTTAGCACGGGATTGGCATGCGGACGACTCGGGTTCTACTCCCGGCGGCGGGGGAGGTGGCAAAATGGTTTCTTAACGCTCTAATTCTCAGTATAATTGTCCGCGCGGGAGTCTCGTAAGGGACGACTGTACCTGGTCAAGGTTTTTTCCCTCAAGCGAGGTTTTTCCTTGGTCCTCGGCGAATGTGGTACAGGGGGTTGGGGGGGAGGGAATAAATCGTAAAAACCCGAGAGGGTATACGAAAGGTAAAAAAAAGCATAAACACCCTGAATTCACCCATCACTGCCAGTTAAAATCCCCGTAATTATTCAAGTGATATTTAGGCCAAGTTTTCGAGTTCATAATTTTTCTCCCGATCCTCTCAGCACCTTAATGGAGAGAATAACCCATTCTTAAATGAAACGCACACAACCGAGGTTAGATAAAACTTTTAATTGGCCGATGGTAGTAACCAAACAGGCGTTATAACGAGGGAAAAATCAAGACGCGTAAGGATGTTGGGCAATTCGTAGTCGTCAGACGTAAGTGGAGTAGCGTTTACGGGCCACCGAGAGAAAGAGAGACAGAAGCATCTCCAGCAATGTTATTAAGCGCCCCGTAATATTCGTACGAAAAGCTCCTGCGGGACGCAGTGTTGACCTGGCATTGGAGAAGTAGAAAAACCCAGGGGGGGAAAAAAGATAAACAGTGACGTGAGTCAGAAGCGAGTGCGAGTGAGAGAGCGAATGGAGTAGCAGCGACAGCGGTTGAACCAGAGGCAGCAGCAGTAGGACCGGCGGCACAGGACAGAAGAACCGTAGAGCCTCGACCCATGTCGATGGACCCAGGGGTTGGGATGTTGGATGCGCGTGCTCGTTCGACTTCGGCTTTAATCGTGAATCTCCGTCGATCTCTGCGGGGGCAGAGGCCTCCCCACCCCAACCTCTCATTGCTGACTGCTCCCTCCGGTCGTGAGGCACACACGCGTCTGTTCCTTGGGCGAACGAGGTAGTTGAGACACTCGAATAAATTTTATTACGTGAATTCTTTGGAGGCCTCAACAGTATGGTGCATCACACCAGCCCCCGGTGAATAATATACAGACTGTTTGTTTGTTTTATTCATCAGTGGAGTATTGAAATAGTAAATATCGTGTTGTGAAATTTCCCGGAGGATCTATTGTCTCAGTTTTGTGTTATTTACCTCCTTGTTTCGGTTTATTTCATCTCTGCGAAAAGGATTCTCTGGATTCCAGTGGACAACATTTGTAATATGGACAATCGGTGGTATTGCTGGCCATGAGTGAGTGATAATGATCCGTTGACGGTAATAACGGATACATTATTCCGGAGTCAATGATCCTCAGACAGGATCGGAACTTTAGGGTTATAATAGCGGTGAAAAACTGACACGCGCCAGTTAGTGACACGTGAACCCTCCACTGGATCGATTCCAGTGCGTGACGCGCCCGTTTTTCAGATGATATGAAAATAGGGGAGAGATCATCGGTTTTATCGTCAACTTGCAACTTGTCCCTCGTTGTTTATGTTTTTGAACCTGCTTTGTCACTCGATGCGGCCTAGTGTGTGATACAGAAGTGTTTGTTCGCTGAACTTCAGTGGAGTTTATTAAATTCCATCTGTAAACCCTAATGACAGGCCGGTGAGCCTTGTGAGATTGTGTAAATACGCCCACTCGGCAATACGTGACCAGGGATTACGATTTTTTTCCCTGCTGGATTATTTTTCTTTTTAACGTGAAAATAAAAGTGCGCGAGGGCTGCTGTGTGCATCGAGGAACTCGCCAACTCCAGTTTCCTGATTAAACCGACTGCGGTGCGCATAACCGCGCGAGTCGAGTGAATAAAAAAAGGGTGAATTGAAAGAAAATATATTGTTGTGCGGGGAATAACGATAAATGTCCTCGTAGGATCGAGAGGAGTAAGCGTCGATGATATATATATAAAGGAGGGGAAAAATAGGAACTCGTGACGTGAATTTTGTTCCGGGGTCAACGTTATCGAGTTTCGGAAACGCCCCACGCGCGTATCAAAATTGACGTCTGTCATCGGTATTTCGAGGGAGAAAAATCCCCAGTCGGGTAGGACAATCGTGGTTTTTTTTTTGTGAGAGGTAAGGGTAGAAACATTGGTGCTGTGTATGTGTGAGTTTTGTCGGAGTGATTTGGGAGTTAATGGCTCTGTGGAATTAAGGAGATTGGGACAAACGTTGATGATGAAGCTCGAATTGAGGCTCAGTGGTGCGTCGAGAATGACGTCAATGGTGCTGATGGTCCTGGGGGTGTTGTGGATATCGCAGGATGTCAGAGGTGAGTGGAAATGAATTTCAATGGTGAATATGGGTTTATTGTGAAGCGGATTTTTGAGGCATTGTTAATGATTCTTCATTGCAGTGAGAGACAAAATTAGTTCTGTCGAAAAATTATAGGTTCCCCTGAAGAGATCTTTTGTCGTGTTGAATCGATTTACTTGTGGACAAAAAAGAAAGTTTCCACCAAAACACGGTGATTTTCGTAGTAATAATTGTTCTCGTGAGACATGTACCTATATGTCTCTCGGGCAATTATATGAGGCTCTGATTTTATTAAGTGAATATTATTAAGTAGTGTATATCTTCGCCCAATAAACACTTATAATTTGCATGGAACAAATAACAATTTCAAAATTTTTTTGTCAGAAACTATGATTTTTGAAGTGTGACATGAAGTAAAAAATAGAAACAATCTACCATAATTGGATGAAAATTCAACGAAATCAGATTTTTTATGTATCATTTTGAAGAACTATCAATACTCTTGAAAATGATTTATGAATTATTCACTTTACTTCAACAATAGTGATTGAAAAATGCAAACTAATCTGAATTCAGAAAAAAATCAAGAAATTCAATTCTTAGATAAAATCCCTTATAAGTTGATCAAACTTGGCCGTAATTAAATAATTCAGAGGTCAATTTGAAGGCAGTTTAATGTGCTTTGAATTAAATATACCGTGAGGGCGTCAGTTCTCGGACGGTTAAGGGTAACTCGACCATCAATAACCGATTCTTCGTTTTTTTTTCGTCAAATATGAAGTTTGCGGTTTCCATAGTCATTTTTGATGTTTTTGGGATAAGAACACGTATTTTTATTTAAAAACTTCGGAATTCGATAAATATTTGTTAAAACAAAACACAGCTCCCCGGATTCAGTTCTCGGACGCCAAAAATTGACCCACTTCAGTTCTCGGACCACTACACATGAATTCAGTTCTCGGACGAAGTGAATGAGAGGGGTTTGGGAGACGGAAAAATATAGTAAATCAATTGTAAAAAATATTTTTGACAGATCTATTCTCATTCCAATAGCCATAAATTTATTACACATTAAACGATAACCATGAATAACCATTATTATTATGAATTAAGTGTAATTGAGCCAAGAAATTTCATCAGTTTGTGAACGGAATTCTGCAATTGATCCTTAGTGACGGCAAACCCCCTATCAGCCATATAACAAATCCATTCTACCAGTTTCTTCTCATAGAATTCTCCCACAATACACTTAGGACCAGGTCTGTTGATCCCAGCTTTTGTCTTGCCAATTGCCTTGTCGTATAAGGTTGACTTAGGGATATTATATTCTTTGCTGACTGATCCCAAAGATCTTCCTGTTCTGATCGCCGTCAGAGCACTTTCTAACTGCTCAGGAGTATACTCTGGTGCTTTTGATTTTCTAGGTCGCGAAAGCGTAGCAGGTCTGAAAGAGTGGATGATTTTTTTTTCTTATTATTCTTTAGCGCTTTCTCTGAGATTTTTATTTTCAGCGATTTCAGCAACAAAAACGAATAAAAATTTAGCAGAAAAAAATTCTAATATTTACACCTATGAATTTCATTAAACATCTCAAAATCTATTTACTTTTTTCAAACCGAATGTCTCTTGGATAAATGAAACGGTAAAATTAGATACAATTCTATATAAATGGTCCAAAAAACGAATAGAATTTTTCAATAGAATTCTAATGGAACTCCAAGAGAATTCTCATAGAATTCCACTAGAAATGCAATAGAATTTCTCAGAGAANTAACTCGACCATCAATAACCGATTCTTCGTTTTTTTTTCGTCAAATATGAAGTTTGCGGTTTCCATAGTCATTTTTGATGTTTTTGGGATAAGAACACGTATTTTTATTTAAAAACTTCGGAATTCGATAAATATTTGTTAAAACAAAACACAGCTCCCCGGATTCAGTTCTCGGACGCCAAAAATTGACCCACTTCAGTTCTCGGACCACTACACATGAATTCAGTTCTCGGACGAAGTGAATGAGAGGGGTTTGGGAGACGGAAAAATATAGTAAATCAATTGTAAAAAATATTTTTGACAGATCTATTCTCATTCCAATAGCCATAAATTTATTACACATTAAACGATAACCATGAATAACCATTATTATTATGAATTAAGTGTAATTGAGCCAAGAAATTTCATCAGTTTGTGAACGGAATTCTGCAATTGATCCTTAGTGACGGCAAACCCCCTATCAGCCATATAACAAATCCATTCTACCAGTTTCTTCTCATAGAATTCTCCCACAATACACTTAGGACCAGGTCTGTTGATCCCAGCTTTTGTCTTGCCAATTGCCTTGTCGTATAAGGTTGACTTAGGGATATTATATTCTTTGCTGACTGATCCCAAAGATCTTCCTGTTCTGATCGCCGTCAGAGCACTTTCTAACTGCTCAGGAGTATACTCTGGTGCTTTTGATTTTCTAGGTCGCGAAAGCGTAGCAGGTCTGAAAGAGTGGATGATTTTTTTTTCTTATTATTCTTTAGCGCTTTCTCTGAGATTTTTATTTTCAGCGATTTCAGCAACAAAAACGAATAAAAATTTAGCAGAAAAAAATTCTAATATTTACACCTATGAATTTCATTAAACATCTCAAAATCTATTTACTTTTTTCAAACCGAATGTCTCTTGGATAAATGAAACGGTAAAATTAGATACAATTCTATATAAATGGTCCAAAAAACGAATAGAATTTTTCAATAGAATTCTAATGGAACTCCAAGAGAATTCTCATAGAATTCCACTAGAAATACAATAGAATTTCTCAGAGAAAGTGCTAAGTTTTTCTGTCAAATTTCTTCATGCGTGCGATTGAGGTTAAGCACAGGGATAAACACGTCCGAGAACTGAACCCACCTCGCCTTTGGTTGATTCAGATCTCGGACCCTCAATTTCTCCAATAATTTTTTTTTTTTTTAAATTGTCCACATCTATTATTATTCGAAAATTGACCTTCAACTCATAAAAACCGATTATAAACAATTTTTCACTTACATTTTGTTGTTAGATCCTTAAGAAGCACAGAGGGATTTCACCGTCCGCACACTACATAACACTCCACAGACCCCCCTACTGTGTGAACCCTCGAATAAATATAAGTGTAATAATTCTGTACACTTAGTGAAATATTAATAAATATTGCAATTTGGGGCGAATTTATTCTACTTTTGGAGGGAATAACAGAAAATGGCCGTCGAGCACTATGGATATGCAATTAATTTGAAATTCAATCGTAAGAGTGCTCTGCGTCCGAGATCTGAATACCGTCCGAGAACTGACGTCCTCACGGTAACATATTCCCACAAATTTGAAGAAAAAAAACAGAAAATATCATCGTTTATAGAAAAAAAATGGAAATTTTCAAAACGTGACATGCCAAAATCGATGCATTATCGCTTGTAACAATTGATCTAATGGTTGGGAACAATAATATGAGGTATCAATTTGAAGATCCCGATTAGACCTTCAAATTGACATATGATATATCCCCGCTGATTAAGTGTAAACCCTTGATAAATTACAAAAACTGTCATTTTCTAGGTGTGACAAAACAAAAAAAAAATGGAAAAAAACTGTAATAACTTGATGAAAATCCAATTAAATCGCATTTTTAATACACCATTTCGAAGAACAATAAATGTTCTTCAAAATGATGTATAAATATCTTTGTTTAAGCCACTTGAAAGCATCGAAAAATCCATCCAAAGTTAATTTTTCAAGTGAAACATGAAAATTCACTTGTCGCCTAAAACTCTCATAACTCAATGAAAAATGGTCAGAATTGGATGAATCAAGCGTCACTTTGGAGCTAATTTGATAAGCTTTCAAATGAGTATATTATATATATGGTTCATGGAAAAGGAAAAAGAACTTGCGCATAGAATAGAAACCAAAGAAAAGAATGGCATCAGCTAATTTGGTCGCAGTTGAAATAAATTTGCTCATGATTATGAATAATTGATCTGATCATGATGAAAACCGCAAATTGAATTTTCCGATGGCGAATATTCAATTTGCGATAGCTTCAGCTTTGTGTCTTCATTCCGGGGTTATGCGAGGAGAATTGTTGCACGTGCCGTAGGTGAACAAAGACACAAGTGCAAAATAGATATCGAGGGTGAGAAAAATGACGTATATCAGCAGGAAAAATATTGCGGAGCTCACAACGGAAACAATTCTCTATTGTTCTCGGCTTTTCTTGGTACACGGGGACATGAGAAATTCTCCAATATCTCTGATTTACTCTGGACAATCGTCTGTAACGAAAATAAGGGATCTATTGGTGTTAGTCTATCAATTCTGGGAGGAATCAACCGGGGAGTCGGCAAATGATGCACAAAGAAACGCAGTATCGGGGAATTACTATTGATTGTATCAGATAATTCAATAATTAAGTTTAAATTTCCTCTTTATTTAATTTACAATAAATCGAGAACTGCAAAGTGGAATTTTCCTATTTTTCTTCGTTTTCAAGGATTTTTTTAGCTTTAAAATGAGATGTGACTCGTCCAAATTGCATCGTTTGGTCGGGAGATCTTCTTCTGATCATTTTTGTTATATCCTCTCACTATAGTAGAGGCAAGCACCATCTTGGTCGGGAGATATTGAAGTTCGAAAGGTTCGTTGTCAAAATCATGAAATTTCAAATGTCACTGAAGATTCAAGGGAATTCTGAATTTATGAACAGCAAGAAGATGGAAATCCATTTTCTTGAAATTTCCATTCAAACCTGAATATTTTATACCAAATTACGCTGAATTTTCTATGAATTCGATTTATTTACCTGAATTTTCCTGATTTCTATCAATTTTCATGGAATAATTGAAGGAAAATTCATAGTTTCCATCGATTTTTCAATAAAATTTTGAGTTTTTAATTACGAAATTCCTTGAAAGTCCAGTGAAACAGAAACGTCCCATGCAGGGCAATACAAAGTGGCGGAACATCGGGCCAAACTCGGCGCCGAGTTCCCCGAT